CAAAGTACAGGATAATTCTAGATAGTAGAGAGCGTGAGAATCACATGATCTCGATGACGCAACAATACTTTCAAATTTCCAAGAAAATAGTGTATATGAATGGTACAACTTACTCTGTACTATTTCATGTCAATATCTGATTATTTTAAGTAAATTTAAGTCTCCTATTACATTAGTATGTATACTTAATTGCTGACTGCTTACTAACAGTTGATGAAGTTTACTCATATACTTTCCCAGAAGTGACTAATAATACACTATGACGATTATAAGCGTAAACACACATTACCGAGCTATGAAGTACAGTGTGTTATACTTAAAACTATTGTGGAAGAAATTGGCAAATTAAATAAGGAGATAGCATATGACGATACTGTAAAGTTGTTTGATTCACTACGATGCCCTAAAATAAGGACATTTTGAAATCTGAATAAGCCCGAGATCACCAAGCAGAAATAATTTGCTTCTGTATTCTATAGTAATAGTACAGTCTAAGGCAAAAAGAATCTTTCATTATTCCATGAAAAAAGTAGCCAAGGTTAATAGCATTTCATCCGAATACCTTGTATGCCGCCCGCCACTTCCCACGAGGCATTTCTTTCAGTACCAGAACTCATCAAGTGATGTAATTTCACACAAACCACCGATAAAAAAGTTTGTTGTCTTCACATAGCTAAATCTTTAAAATGTGTAGATCGACTGACTTTATAGCAATGCTGGGTGACATGATTTAAGCTTCACCAAAACATGCTAGGCAGGCTAAGCTTTGTGACATATTAGATTTATGGCCTAAAACACTGTTAACAGCAAGAATACATAATTAAAGACTGCGTGTAAATCTAATTACTATATGATTGGTTGTTTTATATTTTAGTTAGTGTGGGTCAGCAGAAAGTCTATGGAATTACAACCTTAAAATATCCGGGGTTCGATTCTCCATGGTGAACAAAGCGCAGATGGCCTATTGAGAAGCTTTGCGCTTAGATTAGTTAAAACGAACAAATTTTCAACATAAATACGTAAAATTTTCAAAAAAAGAACTGAACGGTCCATTTTAAACTCTTGCTGAACTGATTTAACGAAAGTAATGCAAAAATATACCCTAAAATTAGGATATAGAAATGTTGGTTTTTATTTTATATATTTTGGTAGTTATATGTTTAAATGATTTATGGAGAGCCTTCTTTTTGTATTGTGCATCATTCAAACTGTAATCACATTATACTAACAGTCAATAGAAATACAATGCGGGTACTCTGTTTAATTAATGGAAAACATTTTATTTTAGAAAGATATAGTCAAGTGTGCAAGTAAAACAATATATATTTTTACTACAACCAATGGGATAGATTGATAGCTTTAGATACATATGAAACAGTATCATACAGATAATCAAGAAGAAGAAGAAGGCAATATTCTGTTAAAATAAACAAAATCAATGTTGGTCACATAAGAAACAAAATGAGAGGAGATATTTATGAATACAGAGGGAGCAGTAGAAGAGAGGCAACCGATTTATCTACACCTGTGAGTACATGTTACAATACGGTATATATGCCGTCAACGATCGCTTTCATATGGTCGCATTGTTGGATATCAGACACGGCGAGACCAGCAATCGTTTGTATACGGCTTGTTCACTAGCAGACTGTATTTCTCTTGGTAATTCCTACAATTATACCTTTCGCAATTACACATAATACTAAAACCTTACCTTTAAAAATGCCTCGAATACCTTTTAGAAAAACCGCTTAAACTTCATTCAACCACTAACTATGAATTAGCGATATGTTGGTCCTTTTAATTGCTGACAATGCTGCTCGTGCTGTTCACGAGCTCACCGTAAGAAGACTAGTGGTTCTCCAGCTCAGCGGACGATTCCGCTATGCTCATCGTAGGGATGTGGGTAGAATGGAGGGACGAAGTATGCAAAATCGCTCAAACGTCGTTGTCATAATTGTAACGTTCCACATATGTTAGGCGTTTTTCATGGTATCATGAACAAATATCTCATCTCTAATTCTGTCTTCACCAATGTTTAATTAAAGAAGTTTAACATTACTTACCTATGATTATGCGTACCAGTGTACATAGGTTGAAAGATAAATAAAGGGATTTTAATACATTTTCGTTAGATAAAGTAACGTTAACGTTTTCATGACAAAGCACTTGTATATAACTTATATAATATGCAACGGCAGAAGTTTAGGCAAACACGACAAGTGTTCACATTATACGGCGTACGACGACGTACTTTATAAAGCCTTATATAAGCAGCAAAAGTAGTTACTTCCACAAATGACTCAGTTAATAATTTAATCCAATGTTTTCCAAATATTAAATAGCGGCGCCCCCCTAACTCAGCAAAGTTTTCGTTGCGCCCATCCCCTTCACATTAAAAACATTTTCGCAAGTGATAACAGCAAAACCAAAATTTATTTACCTGTATTTAATAATTAAAAAACAACGCTTGTAAGAAGTGAATAAATGCGAGAGCAAAGTAATAGGACTGTTACGTTATCGTCGTCTCCAACTCTTCTGTTTCTTCTGTCGATAGTTTTGGGCCAAAAGGCCGTGCTTCTCCAGACACCAGTACGCGAGCCACAGTTTGAATTGTTTGTTATGGATTTCGCGCAAAGCTACACCAGGGCTATATGTGCTAGCAGTCCCTAATTTAGCAGTGTAAGACTAGAGGAAAGGCAGCTAGTCGTCACCACTCACCGCCAACTCTTGGGCTACTCTTTTACCAACGAATAGTGGTATTGAAAGTCACATTATAACACTTCTACGGCTGAAAGGGCGAGCATGTTTGGTATGACAATGATTCGAACCAGCGACCCTCAGATTGCGAGTCGAGTGCCCTAACCACCTGGCCATGCGGGGCCACAGTTTGAAAAACACTGCTTTAATCTTAATTCACCCATTTCGGGGTTACCGACTAGGAAAATATGCCAAAAGCTTTTACTACACATCATTGTTTAAGGGGAAAGACAATATTTGGAAGGACTATTATTCCTAAAATTTTCCGTTCTAGTATTAGAGTTTGCTTTACTCTTTTTAATGTTATTAAACATTTTCCTGCTGTTTCTGGATCAATAATGTTACGTATCTGCTTGTTTGTTAATTTCCGTTATAAATTATTTTCGAGGAATTTCAGCGATACAAGTCCTTTCTCGATTACACAGAATTTCCACAGTCACTTTAAACTTAACAGCCTTTATAACACACTCTATAAATCACAGTTATTTACACACTTTATTTATGGCACCTACTGTTCACTTGATTCAATTATCTATCTCTTCAATCCCGCTGGTTTTTCTCGCCAGGCTTATATACTAAAAAGAGGGCGTCTCGAATGTACTAGGATTGTGGGGCAAATTCATGATCCTTCGAGAAACTCCAGCGCGCATGCTCCCAGCGTCGCGCGACTTCAGCTTTCGTAACAATAATGTTATTATTATGAAAATTGACATAATTTTCGAAAAATTATAAAGCTTTCATTACAGGTAACAATAATAATAATAATATTGGTCTCTGGAATGATTACAAGTATACCTCAAAATGTTGTCCTTAATATAACATTATACACATACTAGTGTTTATAAAATATAACTTGAACCATAGTTGAAGGATCATTAGGCCTACATGTGTAATTGCTTTTAAGTTCAATTTTTGGAATATCAGACCTTCCGAACTATGGCATTTCAGAACACTAGGCTGTTACCGTTGTAAACTGTAAACGCCTCTGTAATGAAGTTGTCATTCAACATCAGAGCTCTCCAGCATTCATACCTCACTAAAACGCTATTTATCCTACTTTTGAGAAAGATTCTCAAAAAAATTTCATATCTTTATATATACGAGTATATAGAAAATAATTTATGCTTCCCACTATTCAGAGTTTTACATGATATACCCTAAAGACTACTGTTACGACAGCGGAGGTCACGTGACGTTAGTAACACGCCACGCGCTTCTAGAACGTTCATGAAGCGTCGGGAGACTACTAGATATGGGGGTAGTCTTGTATATATAAGACCGGCCAAGAAGCAACGGGAGCAATGTGTAATTGAACTGCAGACAGAGTATTGTTGAGTTGAGCACGTGAGACGTTGGTTGTGAATTATAGAGTTTGTTATAGCGCGACTGTTGAAATTAAGTGTATCGCAAAGTTGTATTCAAAAAGAATAAACCAGTTTTATTTAAGAAAGGACTTGCATCGGTAAAGTTTCTTCGGAAAGAATTTTTACGGAAAATTAACTAACGAACGGAGACGTAACACTATCTTACACAAACATCTATTGTATATTTGTGAATGTATGTCTGTTTGTTTGTTCCCAATACAAATCGATATGGACCACTCTACAAATGTCAAAATAGGTTCATTAGGACTAACTTTTCATCAAAAATGTCACGAACACATTGGATTTCACGTTCAAAGCCATCTGAGGTCGCAGGGAGACGAAATAAGGCAAAAACTGGTGAAATTACAGTCTTCATTGTAAAAAATTCGTGAAACCACTATGAAAATCAATTTCAAACATACTACAACTGCCCAAACATGTTCAGTTTGCATAACAGCTATTCATCACCTTGCTCAATTTCAGAATGTCAGAAGTTTCTAGAATGTTTGGAGTCATCTCCATACAAAATTTCCCTTCCACTGATTTCAATTATTGTCACTACTGATTTCAAAACTTCTAGAAGATTCTAGAGATCTCTCCATACTACTTGAATGTAGCAATTCAGGCTACTGCTTCAAGACTTCTAGAAGATTCTAGAAATCTCTCCATACCACTTGAATGTAGCAAATCAGGCTATATAAGGCCTGCAACAAATTTTTATTCAGATTCGTCGATATTAAACTCAAAAATCTCTCCATACTACTTGAATGTAGCAATTCAAGCTACTGATTTCAAGACTTCTAGAAGGTTCTAGAGACTTCTCCATATTACTTGAGTGTAGCAACTCAAGTTATATAAGGCCTGTATTAAAATTTATGTTTCCGATTCGATATTAAACTTCTAGCACAGGTTGTTCAATAAGTGCCACTGCTGTACACTAGTATTATACGAAACTCCACCTCAAGATGGGACCAAAGAAACGAAAAAGTATTGGCAGAAGCTCTTCAAAAGCTCCCAGAATTCGAGAAACAAGGGATCATAAGACAGCTGAGGAACATCAACCTCGCATCAGTGCACAAGCCTCTAGACACGCATGTAGCAAGCAGTGGGAACAGAAAAGCAGTGCCAGGCCTACCTCAGTTCTCAGGCCTCCAGACAGATACTTAGCAGGCAGCAGGAAACAGAAGAGCAATGCCACGCCCATCTCAGTTTCCAGGCCTCAAAACAAGCAAGGAGCAGGCTGCAGGAAACAGAAGAGCAGCATCAGGCTCACCTCAGAGCTGATGACACCAGACATGCAAGGGGCAGGTTACAGGAAACAGAAGAGCAGCATCAGGCTCGCCTGAGTGCTCATTCCTCCAGACAAGCAAGGAGCAGACTGTAGGAAACAGAAGAGCAGCATCAGTCCTGCCTGAGTGCTCAGGCTTCCAAACAAGCAAGGAGCGGGCTACAGGAAACAGAAGAGCAGCATCAGGCTCGCCTGAGTGCTCAGGCCTCCAGACAAGCAAAGAGCAGTCTGCAGGAAACAGAAGAACACCATCAGGCTCGCCTCACTGCTGATGCCACCAGGCATTCACAGACCAAACAACAAGAGTCTGCTGAAAAAGAACAAGCAAGACTCCAAGCAATGCACACAAGAACTACCAGGCAAAGGGGATCACTATTTACTGTGACCAATATGCTAAATGCTGCATTCAATTACTCGGCTGACATTGACTATTCTTCTATAAATGCAGTCAAAGAAGTGGAAACTTGAAACACCATCAATGTGTTTTTCAATGGTAAAGTTAGCTTACCTCTATTAGCCGAGCCACCACAACCATTGAAAATGCTGCTCCTAGGTGACTCACCAGGTTCAAAATATTTCCTAAAGATGATCAGAGCCCACAACTCAGCATTTCTAGTGACATCTTTTGGAGCCAACATCGTCCCCAAAGGGGGACTTATGCCAACATTTAAAGTACAGGGACAAATCTACCATCGCATTGGGTCACTCCAACCTCATGCAGACGAACATCCACAGTTTCTACAATTTTATTTTGTGGGAAATATGCAAAAACAAGCAGAATATCGTTGCAACTACATGAAGGGTACCAGACTTTATATCATACTGCAACTATAGGAGATGATCCATACCACTAACAATTATGTGCAAAGCTTTAAATATGCATTTGAAAGTGCTCCTACTTTGGACTACCATATAGTGATCAATGATGATAAACGACCATATGGAGAACATCTTGATCGATTCAATGAATCTACTTGCAATGAGGTTGTCTTGGTCAGGAATAGCCAGGAACATGGAAAAAGAGACATTCTCTTAAAACTTCGAAATAACACTATAAAGAGGATAAATGAGACACAAAGATCTTATGATGCCCTTCAGTATCCGCTTACTTGTGTGCATGGAGAAGATGGATACCACTTTGGAATTCCACAAGCTCAAGGAACAAAACTGTGTCATGCATGGATTTCTATGCCTAGAACTTCATGATTCTAAATAATTATTTCAACCAATTGCAATGTTGTCAAGAGCTGTTTCAACATTATGCTGTTGATATGTATACCAAGGTGGAAACAGAAAGTTTGATGTACATAAAAACACACCAACAAGATCTTCGTGTTGACTCCTACATTCATCTTGAAGGTAGAGCATTCTTCCATCCACTTTCACAGGAAGCCCAAGATACATGCATGAATGAACTTAAGTT